TTTTTTTTTTTTTTTTTTTTTTTTCGTCGACGGCTAGAGACGTAGAATCTGGATGAGTGGGAGGGACCGTGCCATCGGAGTTTTTTTTTTTCTTTTTTTTCCCCTTGTAACCCGGAGTAATTGACACGTGGCTTTCACGACTTCTTTTTGTTGACACTCACCATAATTCTTTTTTCTTTATTTTTTCCAAGTCTTTTTCACATTTGCCCATGAGCCTAGCTCAGTGGGTACACCCATGAACTGTTGAAGTACAGACCAGTGTTCGAATCCAGATGATGATTGAACGTGATGGTGGTGCTTTTAAGAGGGAATCGTCATCTGGGATTGTCTTTCTTATTCTTTTTTTTGCAGATAAGGTGTTCTTTGCGTCAGATTCTTTGCTATGGATATGGTAGAATTTGTTCTCTGGTATTCATTTATGTTGAAAATGGCCTGGCTCATCGTTCAACCATCTCACAGTTCCCGTGTCTTGAATCCTCTGGCTGGTTTGTCCCGTCGTTTGGCCTGTGTGCTGTCGGGGGCGGTGTCTGCATGTGGGACTTGTCATCTAGGATTCGTTTGCCCCCTGTTCTGTAATGTTTGGCTGTCCCCTTCCTCTTTTCTTTGCCTCTTCGCCTTTTGGCTGTGTGCAAGTGGGTCGATATGACACGCGGGGGTAGGGGCAGCCGCCGCTCAACCTACATCCACGTGGGCGGCCTTGTACGCAAGAGGTTTTGAACAGGGGGAGTCTTGTAAGGAAGAAGATAAAAAATGAATTTATTTCCTCTTTTTTTTCGCATTTGCGCTCTGATAAATTTGTGACGATATCGGTGAAACTCCGACGAAACAGTTTGTCACAGCCCCTCGTTTGTTGTCCTCTTCTCTCTCTCTGCCTACGGTTTACCGGGCAGTTCTGTTTGTGACGATATATATACCGTCAAACAGATATATAAGCGTATGGAGAATTCATGATCACTGCTGCCAGTAGCCTCTTTTCTAGTTCATTCAGAAAGGTGCCAGTTATTGTTTTCTTTGTTGTAGGGACGTCTGCCATGATCAGATCAGATCAGATCAGATCAGATCACTTGTGACCTGATGGCGGCTGGAAAACACAGCTTGATTTCAGGGGTTGAAAGTCTTTTTTTTTTTTCTTTTTTTTTTGGTTGTTTTTGGGTGCCTTCTCTTGTTGTGTCGGAAGATACACTTTATTTCTCGTTCCTGTTTTGATGGCTTGAGCTCCTGATGTATCTGCCCACCTTCGCGCTGAAGATACACTTGCCCTGTCTGCGCGAGTCGAGTCGTTGGCGAGTCAAGCTTGTGACTGCGCACCTCACATGCGGCCTGTCGTGGATGTATCCGATCGTGTTTACGTCCAAATTCTATCGGAAAAGTTGTGATTATGCCGCCTGATTTTTTCCTGGATCTACCTGATCGTATTTACGTTCAAATTCATTCGAAAATCTTCACATGCATGCGTCAGCGCGCCCACTGCATGTGCATCCTTTCCTACCGTCCTCCCCCAAACACAACACACCCTCATTATGACTGTATTGGATCCGAAAGATAGCATGTATACATTCATGATCCGGTTGTGGAGGCAGATGGTTAAGAGTCGAGGAAAACTGGACCATGCAACCGCAACCCTATAACCCTATTAATTGATAATATATTATTCAACTGATTTGTTATTATTCCATATTATATTATTATTATTGTTATAATATAGTATTAATTTATTATTATAATAATGTTATTATTATAAATTATAATATTATTATTAGTGTTTTATTGACTTCATCCGGACTCAACTCATGATTTCTTGCGTGAGAGTGGTGGTGATGCATCGACTCCATCCATTGCATGCCTATTCCCTCCTTACCCGTCTTCCCCCGAATAGAACGCCTGTTCATCGTCCCTGCATCTAGACTGACATGTGCCACAAATACAGACACAAGGACCGTGCGTTCCATTCACGGGAAGACGGTAGCGGCATGCACCTGGTACATGGGACTACAACCCAGTCATCCTATTATTTTTTTATTCTATTAATTTAAATCCATCGGCACTTCAGCTGTAGCATTCTGTAATGAATAACAATTAAAAAAAAGTCTCCTAATCTGCTATTAAGATTTTTTTTTTTTTTTCTAGTTCAAAGAATCTGAACGCTTCTCTTGAAATTCAATAAACCTCTTTTTACGAAGTTTTTAGTGAATTTTGATTTATTATTATTTTTTTTAATTTTTTTTTTCGTGTCATCCCTGCGCAGGGAGGGGCCATGCTCATGCTAATCTTCATTCTCTGTATCGTTCGAATCCTTTTAACGGATGTCCCAAAGGGCGAATTTTGAATTTTGAATTTTGAATCTTGTGAATTTTCGGCAATTCCTAAATATTTCCCTACTACCACAGCTCTCTTTATTGAATTTCGAGTTTTCGGCAGTTCCTAAATATTGCCCTTCTACCAACCATTCTTTCGTAACGTTTTTTAAACTTTTTTTTTTTCCTTTCTTTATTTTATTCAAAATACTTAATTGGATTTACTATGGTGGTTCTGAACCCTTTTTTGGTAGTTTTTCTTCATGAACAAATCTTTTTTTTTTTTTAATTAAAATTCATCATTGCAAATTAATAAATTTCATGTATAGACACCATCCATATGCCACGTAAGCAGCGATGATTAGAGGGGACAAGTGAATGGTGAGGATGGAGTGTGCAGGTGAGGGGGAAAGGATGTTGGTTGGTTGGTTGGCGGGAGGAGGATAGGATGTTGATGGGGTGGGTTGGGCGGGAGAGAGGGAGGGGGAGAGGGAGAGGAGAGGGGGAGAGGGGGAGAGGGGGAGAGGGAGAGGAGAGGGGGAGAGGGAGAGGAGGGGGGAGAGGGGAAGAAGGGAAGAGAGAAGGATAATCTGGTGAAATTCTTCTTCAGGGTTGTTCCTTCCTTCTCTCTCGGGCTTTTTTTTTTTTTTTTTTTTTTGACAACGAAGGTGGTCGCCTCTATGACGGTTTCGTTCATTTGAGTTCTTTCAGGATTCGAACAATTGATTTTTATTTTATTTTATTTTTTCTAATAATGAAGGGGGTTAGCCCCTACCGAATGTGGCTGAATTGTGCACACAATGACCATCTGTTTATAGACAGTTACATCACATTGTGTGCACCATTCAGCCACATGAGGGCGGACTCTCTCTCTCTCCCTCTCTCTCTCTCTCTCTCTCTCTCTCTCTCCCCCCCTCTCTCTTTCTTTCTTTCCTTCTTTCTCTCACAAAGTATTATTCTATCAGAACACGCTATTGTATGGTTTATACCAAAAGAAGTAATAAAAAGACATCCAGTCTTACTGAATCTTGCACCTACTTTACATAGGCTAGGTATACAAGCTTGTCAGCCTATTTTAATGCAGACTCTCTCTCTCTCTCTCTCTCTCTCTCTCTCTCTCTCTCTCTCTCTCTCATAAAGTATTATTCTATCAAAACACGCTATTGTATGGTTTATACTAAAAGAAGTGATAAAAAGACATCCAGTTTTACTGAATCTTGCACCGGCTTTACATAGGGAGGGCTAGGTATACAAGCTTGTCAGCCTATTTTAATGCAGACTCAGTAAACCTGGATGCCTTTTTATTACTTCTTTTAGTATATGCACCTATTTTAGCTGAAGGAAAAGCAATTTATTACATCCATTTCCATGTACTGGTTTTAATGCAGACGTCGATGGAGATCAGATGGCTGTACGTGTTCCTTCATCCCCAGAATCACAGAAAGAAGCACGTCTAATTATGATTTCCCATCGCAATCTTTTATCTCCGGCCACAGGCAATCCGGTCTCTCTCTCCTCTTTTCTAGTGAAGCTTTCGATATTGTTT